CTGTCTCATTAATGCACGTGTAGCCAACACAATAAGAATCATAGCTAATAACGGCTAAAGCTGAGGACTTTCCTGGGCCAGGCAGCGGCTTTCAAATCTTTAAAGTGGCTTTTAAAACTTCAACAGCTAAAGCTGAGGACTTTCCTGAGCCAGGCAGTGGCTTTAAAAACTTTTAAGTTTTCACATAGACTCTCATTGAATAATTTCTGTTTTTCAGATCAAGAAACTGAGACTTACTATCACATTTGGGATGAAGTTAAAAAAAAAAAAAAAAGAAACTGAGGCTTAAAGCTGTGAAGTATTTCACAGCCAGCAAGTGGCTAAGTTGGAACCTGAACCCAGGCAGTCTGGCCCCGGGATCCTGTGCCCTTACCCATTATCCAGTGTTGGCTACACAAAACTAATGTGTACACATCTTCAACTATAGTTTAAGTGGATGACATATTTTTCACTATATTTTATGTAGGTGACTTTCAGTTTGGGGGTATTCTACTTACATAATCTATTCAGCTGGATATTAACTGAGAACAAATAGAAACTAATGAACTCTGAAAAACATAAAACACGAGCAACATGATGTCACCACAAAAGACAAATCAGCACATAGCCTTCTTGTGACTGTATTTTGCCCAGGAACTAATAATCAGCCTGAACTCAGCAGTGCTCTGTTCCCTTGGGAGACACACTCACCCACCCTTGGGAGACACACACACACACACACACACACACACACACACACACACACACGAGTTTGTGGTTATGCCGCCCTGGGCCTCCACTCCGCGAGTGTGAGGAAGGGATCAGATGGGTCGCACAGAAAGGTGCTGGGTCAAGGGGAGGAGGGGGCAGCCAGGAGCGAGTGCACGCTCTGGACTCGTGTACCCGCCGAAACGGGTGCGCGCGGGTGCGCCGGGTTGAGGGGTGAGGGTTGAGGGGTGAGGAGTGAGGGGTGACAGGGACGGTGGCAGGGTGGGGGCAGCCCTTTCCCAGGTGGTAGCTGGGGCGGTGGTGCTGTTGCCCTTTTAAGCTGTGGCTTGACAGGAGCCTTGCCTCCTGTCTGTGGAGTCAGTTACAAATGGAGCAGCCCCCCAGGCCGCCACACAGCTCCCGCCAAGGCCTCCATGCCCCTTGCCATTTTCCAGCCGGCTCCCACCAGGGTCGAGGCGGCGGGGAGAGGCCGAGTCGCTAGAGCTCGGCCGTGCGGCCCTGCCAGGTGGTCTGGGCCATGACAGTGGCTCCGGAGGAGGGCTCCCCTTCTGCGCCCCTCCCAGCGGAGATGAGGGGAAGATGTCCGTGTCAGGGTTCAAGGCCAAACTGAAGTTGCTGGCGTCCCTTCCACAAGAACCAGGAGCCCAGCCGCCGCTCACGCTCCACTGCAACATCACGGTGAGGCGCCCGGCGGCGGCCTCGCGAGGCAGGCCGAGGGCGCAGAGGGGGCGCCCGGAGTCCCGGGACAAAGGGGAGACTGCCCCGGAGAGGACCAGGTTCCCCGCCCCTTTCTCCCTCAACTGGCCCGGCCCTGCCCCGGGACTGCGCGAGGTTTGGGTGGGAGGAGGCGGAGGGCGGGTCTCTAGGCTCCTCGCGCCGGGCTGGCTTGGGGGCTGCTGGATCCTCTTGGCCCCCGCCGCCGCGCCCCAAGGTGGAAGCCCGCGGAAGCCAGAGCCCTCTCGGGACCCAAGGTCGTCCTCAGTCAGCCGGCCTGCTCCTGGGACCGCGACAGGGCGGGGCAGGGCGGCTCCAGCTTTGTTTGAGCCCGGGCGGGGAATGGGAAAGGCCTTTAAGATTTTAGGTGTTTTGGCCCAGTGCAGTGGCTCATACCTGAATTCCCAGCACTTTCGGAGGCCGCGGCGGGCGGATCACCTGAGGTCAGGAGTTTGAGACCAGCCTGGCCAATATGGTGGAAACCCCGTCTCTACTAAAATATACAAAAATTAGCTGGGCATGGTGGCAGGCGACTTAATCCCAGCTACTTGGGAGGCAGAGGCAGGAGGTTGCAGTGAGCGGAGATCGAGCCTAATTCACTTTTTGTTTTGATTAATTTACCCTTTTTGAGGGGTGGGGGCTCAGCTGTGTCATGTGTAAAGTGAAGGATAGTAACTGGGCTGATGGTTACAGACTTGGATGCATGTCAGAACTACCTCAGAGAGCTTTTTAAAAACAGATTCTCCTCAGCACTTTGGGAGGCCAAGGTGGGCGGATGATGAGGTCAAGAGATCCAGACCATCCTGGCCAATATGGTGAAACCCTGTCTCCACTAAAAATACAAAAATTAGCTGGGCGTGGTGGCATGCACCCGCAGTCCCAGTTACTGGGGAGGCTGAGGCAGGAGAATCGCTTGAACCCAGGAGGCAGAGGTTTTCAGTGAGCCGGAGATCCTGTCACTGCACTCCAGCCTGGCGACAGAGCAAGACTCCATCTGTTAAACAAACAAACAAACAACAAACAAACAAAAAAACATTCTCTGGGTAGGCTTTGAAATGAGCATTTCAAAAATGCTCTTTCAATCACTGATGCCACCAAAGTCTTTGGGACTTTTAGACTAAGTATATATTCTTTAGATACTCAGAATAGTTTGATTTGGAATATAACAATTTAGGGAAATGAAGAAGGGGTGAATTTTATTTTGGAAGCTGCTGCTTGCTTCCTTTTTCCATTTAGTTTTTAGAAGACAAAGAATGTCTAAAGAGATGCAGATTTAAAGGAAATATAAGTTAATGCTGCATGGGTATGTTTATCTACATGGCATTCTCCAGCTTACTAATCCAGCAGAGTTCTAACACCCTCTGTGATCATGGGTTGTTTTTCTTAAGTATTCCTCCATCAGAGTATCTAAGAACAGATGCTTAGATACTGCTGAGACCTTTGTTGGTCTTACTTGATCTCTGGATCATAGTTCCTTGATATTTTACATATTCTGAGTTCTAACCTGAACTGGCCTTCATGGTTAAAGATGCATTTATATACTGTGCACTGGCCAGGAAGCTTATCTTTTGAAATTTGCCCTGAATATGAAGGCCCTTCCTAAAACCCCATTACACTCATTTCTAAACTTAGTAATTGTAAATTGTGTCAGTTGTTAAATTCTGTCTTGTAGAGAGGTATTTTGTAGTAAATAACATGTTTTTAAAACTGAAATTTGCATTTTAGTAAGGTGGTAATCATTTCATAATTCTTAGTTTTGTGAGGTGTCCATAAATAACACATCTGATCTTTTAAAATATAAGGCAATTGAATTTATGTAATGATTCAGGCTTTTCAAAGTTAAAACGGTAGTTATTTTAAGGAATGGATAGTTTGTGACATTTATTTTAAACAAAATAAGCCATTGATCTTATACACATAGCCATGTAAGTAAAATGTTTTCTTATTTTAAATTAGATTATGTTTTAACTTTTTTTTGTTTTGCTTTATATTTGACTGCTTTTCTTTATTCCTAATTCTTTTATTTGTTCCATTTTTAAAAGCTGATAACTGTTGTTTGTCAAGTCAAAGTTGGATTTAAAAATAAACATTTAGTTTTAATAAGCTGATAGCGGCACTGCAGTGACAGATGGTTGAGAGTTTGTCACTAAAGCTGTGGCACCAGTCTTCTAATGGACTCAGCCTATATTCAGCCTGTGTAGCCCTGGCAGATTCTTTCTCTATTTCGGAATGGGACAACAGAAGAAGTGACTTCAGACGAAGAGGAAGAGGAAGAAGAGGAGATGGCTGAAGTAGGTATTTTATGTAAGAATGATATTTCATAAATGTCATCATTTTTGGTTTGAGTAATTCTCTAAATCTCCTTTGTAAACTACTATTAATGTGGAATAATTGAAAGCACATTGTATTTGGAATGGAATATAATTTCTCAACTCTGGCTTTACCTCTAACTGATGAGACACTTTTGAGCAAATTGCTTTATCTGAATTCTTTGGATTTGATTTCCTGGAAAACAAAAGCTCTTAACTTTTAGCACCAAAGTTTTATTTATATTTAATACTAATCAGTCCTTACCCTGTATTTGGTTATTTTTAGGCAGAGACTAGTAAGTTTAAAAAATTTTATGTTTGCATAAAAGGAGAATTTGAGAACATGTTAGGGACTACTCACCAGAAGTAGTGAAACTGTCTCTTGTTGAAAAAATCATCAAGGGATTTTGTTTGTCTGTTTCATGCTGCTATAATAGAATATCAGAGATAGGGTAATTTATAAAGAACAGACATTTATTTTCTAACAGTTCTGGAGACTGGGAAGTCCAAGATGAAAATACCAACATTGGGTGTCTGAGGGCCTTCTTGTTGCATCTTCACATGGTAGCAGGCAGAAGGGCAGGAGAGCAAGCTAGTCCAATGTGTGAAGCCTCATTCATAAGGGCCTTAATCCCATTAAGGAGGAAGGATCCCTCTTGGCACCTCTTAAAGGTCCTACCTCTTAATATCATCACATTAGAAACACCTGAATTTTGGAGGGAACACATTCAAACAGTAGCAAATTTAGTAGAGCAAATTCCAAAGACATTGAGCCTAGGCCAGTTGTCAGTTATGGGTATAATTTTAGATGTTTTCAGACTCTGAAGCTTTGCATTTAAATTGAGACTTCAGAACAAAGATCTATGTCTCTGCATTGACCAAATAGAAGGTCTGTGAATTTTATGGTCTTGATTGTTTTAAAATATTTTTTTCTGTTTGGGGTCTTATAATTAATTTAGTCTTTCATTTTCTTGGTTTGGAAATTATTAATTTAAAATATAATTTAGAGTTATTCAGAACTAAAGAAGTAGTGTTGTAGGCTTGTTTTCATTTGTTTTTTTGAAACAGGATCTCACTGTCACCCAGGCTGTAGTGCAGTAGCGTGGTCACAGCTCACTGCAACCTTGAACTCCTGGGTTCAAGCAATCCTCCTGAGTAGCCGGTACTACAGGCAAGTGCCCCACGTCCAGCTAATGTTTTTTTATTTTTTGTAGAGTTTGAGTCTCATTCTATTGCCCAGGCTGGTCTTGAACTCCTGGACTCAAGTGATCCACCACCTCGGCCTCCCAAAATGCTGGGATTACAGGTATGTGCCACTGTACCTGGCTGTAGGCTTGTTTTATGAGTCTGGGAGCAAAATACTTCTTAAAATCGTCCAGTTAGAATGGGAGTTTGTTTTAATGTTTTTATGCAGTTTAGCTGAGGTGGAATAAGCTGCATGAAAACATTAAACCTTTTCTGTGGGTCAGGCAGCCATTGCATAAAGGTCATGTACCCTTTCATTTTTCCCCTCACAAGATAATAAACACGGGACCGCAACTTTTAGGGAAATCTAGAAAGGTAGGAAACTGGACTTTGGAGATGTCAGATTAGGACAGGTGAAAAGCAGATATTCTAGGCTCCTAAAAGAATGTGGGAACAGGCCCAGAACAACCTTGGACATGGTGTGTTTGGGTGCATTGGATGCCTTTCTTTTGAGAAGGAAGGTTGATGTGTTGAAGTCATGGAAAGCAAGATTGGCCAGAAAAGGCAGATGGTTAAAAGTCTTGAATTTGAGACTGGCATGTTTCTATTTGGTGTGATTATTGTTAGGAAGGCCTTAAGCAGGGAATAGTGTGCTGAGGATATTGCTTTAGAGAGATATGTTGAATTCTGTTTGTGATGTGCTAATGCTTAGTTGGAGAAGTTTTGTGGATGGGAACATGACTGAGGTTGAAGGTATAGGAGGAAATACAGACCAAAGGCATTTGTGAGCATTGCGAGGAAAATGAGCATAGGATGGAAGATCAGGGCTGAAAGGCGCACACTGGGAGAAGGGAGCTCCATGAAGTATGGAGTCATGGGCAGAGTTTGAGTGAAGGTAGTCAGTAACCTGGTCTAGAAATCAGAGAATTAACTGGCTTGGAAAAAAAAATCGAGATGAATATAAACTAGTCCTTTAGAGATATTGACAATTGAAGTAGAAAAATAAGGTAATTGAAAAAAGTTGGGAATTTAAAAATTCTGCATATATTTGTATATATGTAAGAACAGATAGTATGGAAAGGGAGGGAGCAGAATGATGTGAATAAAGATGTTGTTTTGGGGGGTATTATTCAAATTCTTTTGAAATTATTATTATTTTTTGAGATAGGGTCCCTGTCACCCAGGCTGGAGTGCAGTGGCATGATCATAGCTTACTGCAGCCTCAAACACCTGGGCCCAAACGAGCCTTCTATTTCAGCCTCCTGAGCACCTGAAATCAAATTCTTTTTCTAACTCATTTTTTAGTTATTAACATCAATAGATGCTTACTATATAAAACCATAAACTGCAATTAGGGGAAAGCACCAAATATCTCCAGAGATAACAACTAAAATTAATTGAAATTAACATTTCAATAGAAGTTCTTCTGGTCTTTTTCTGTGCATATTTCAGCATAATTGAAATTCTTTCTATTCCTTTGTGTATCCCATTTTTCATTTCAAAGTTTTTCAATGCAGGAGAAATTATGCTGTGCTGATATTTCAGTGGCCTGTTAATGTTTCATGGAATTGAGTTAACTGTTTTGCTATTTTTGCACATGCATATTTTGTGTTTGTTTTTGTGGTAGCAAGGTTGAAATAGGTATCCTTATGCCTAAATTTGTGTTTACATCTTGGACTAGTGTCTTGGAATACAATTCTAGGACTCGAGTTTCTGGAACAAACTATGAACAGTTAAAGTTCTTGACACTTGCTGCTAAACTGTATCAAAGGTTCCTCTTAAGAGGAGATTTAAAAGATGGCTTGTCCAGGTGTGGTGGCTCATGCCAATAATACCAGCACTTTGGGAGACCGAGGTGGGTGGATCACTTGAGGTCAGAAGTTTGAGACCAGCCTGGCCAACATGGTAAAACCCTGTCTCTACTAAAAATGTAAACAAATTAGCTGGGTGTGGTGGTGTACATCTGAAATCCCAGCTACTCAGGAGACTGAGGCATGAGAATCACTTGAACCTGGGAGGCAGAGTTTGCAGTGAGCAGAGATCACTGCACTATATTCCTGCCTGGGTGACAGAGTGAGACCTATTTTTAAAAAGTAAATAAAAATTAAAGAAGTAAATAAATGATGGCTTATTTCATAATAGTTATGGCTTTGTAAAACTTTTAAATCTGCTTTACCCAGAGTCTAGCTTTTAAATAAAATATGAGATATAAAAGGTGGGAGCCTCTTGAATGGAATGTGGGGGTTTTTCTCTCTCCCCATAGGATAGATATATTCTGTTTCTTGTCCCCCATTGAGTCAAGAATAATTTAACATTTGGCATAAGACACTGCTGAAGAAAAATAGGTTGAATAAGCTAACATTTTTCTTCTTTTTGCAGGATATAGAAGACTTAGATCACTATGAGATGAAAGAAGAGCTTATTAGTGGGGAAAAGTTGGAGGATGAAGGAATTAAAAAAGAAAATTTGGCAATATTAGAGAAAATTAGGCAAGACCATTTAAATGTGTAAGTGTATGTAAATAGCTAGAGCCTGGACTTTTTAGTTGAGTAATTATAGTTAATATCAGGCAATTCATGAACATGCCGATCTCAGCTTCTCTCGTCCTCCATTCCTGCCTTAGTCATATGTTTATTGGTTTTGAGACAGGGTCTTGCTCTGTCACCTGGGCTAGAGTGTGGTGGCACAATCATAGTTCACTGTAATCTTGATCTCCTAGGCTCCAGGGATCCCCTTGCCTCAGCCTCCCAAGTGTCTCGAACTATAGGCATGTGTCACCACACCAGGCTAATTTTTTTGATTTTTAGTAGAGATGAGGCCTCACTATGTTGACCATGCTGGTCTTAAACACTTGAGTTCCAGCGATCCTCCTACCTTGGCCTGCCAAAGTGCTGGGATTACAGGCATAAGCCACCATGCCTAGCCATGGTCACATGTTTTGTTGCCCAAGGTTATCTTTCTCATCTGTGAATAGCCACTTTTTACCCTGTTCATCTGCTCTTCACATCCTGGAACCACTTGCTGATCCCTGTATATGCCCCTTTCCAGCCTGTTTATGTTGTTTTCTCTGCTTACCTTCCTTCTGTGGCATCTGTATACTCACATTCATTCTCTCCTACAAAACACAACTCAAATTATTTCTCCTTCATGAGGCTGACTTTGGTCCATCCTGCTCTGACCAAACCAAAAGTAATTCTTCTCTTTTGACTTAACATCTCTTTTATGTGAAGCAGCAGGATGGGAAAAGAACACTGAGTTTGGTGACAAACACGCCTTTTTTGGTTTCACTTTGCTCGGCTCTAAAATATGGATAGACAGTTCATACCTTTTGGATGACTGCTATGAAAAATAAACAAGCATGATGTGTGTATACACATAAAAGGCTCAGTCAGAGTAGGGAAACATCAAATGATTGTCTGAACACTTACTACTTCCTGCCTTGTATTAGAGCCATTTACCAACTCCACAAAATCCGAGGACAAGTTACTTTGTCTTGGGCACAGTTTCTCCAAAACAGGGAATGAATTGTTAGGCAAGTAGATGCCAAATGTTGAAACTGGATAGATTACTCTCCCTTCTTCAATCTTAGTTATATGTTTAATTAGTAATTTTTCGTAGAGGAAAGAAATTTAGTCAAATTTCCATATCTTGATTATTTAAAAAACTAAGTTTGTAGCATTTGAATTAATGTTACTGTACTTTCTGTGTCTTGTGATCGATTCCAGTTTATCTTCAAAACAAGTATAAATTATTGAACACTTTTTCATGACTGATACTATGCTAAGTACTTTATACTTTATATATCTTCTCATTTAGTCTTCATAGCTGCTGTGTGAAATAGGTGCTCTTCATATTTTAGAGATAGGAGAAACTTCTCATATTTTATAGATATGAAATGAGCTCATGATCACATAGTTAGGAAGTAATATCTTTGTAAACTTAACTTTTTTTCTTTTTCAAAGTATAGTGCAGTCTTTAAAACCTTTAGTTTCACATGACCAAAAAGTAGTTCCATTTCTATTTAGTCTTAGGGTAAGATATTGATGTGTTTTCAACTTTGGAGAAGATCCTGCACTGAAAAACTGAAACCAGTTGCATGTAGGCACACATGTTTCTCAGTGTCTTCATGTGTGAACTATACCGTCTGTGTAATATTCTTGCTTATAGTCTTATGAATGGAAGTCTCTTTTAGTTAGTAATGTGTCACCTTGAGTGTCTTCTAGTATTTTCAAAAATCGCTGGGGTTTGGAATTGACTCATACTGAATTCTGTGCTATCATGGAGTCCATGGTGGTCTGAACATGTTGGCTAGAGTTTTTCAGATGATAAGAAATAGGAAATGAACCAGACTTGTGTCTAATTTTATATTCTCTTGAAACTTCATAATGCTTCATTTAATTGGACTTTTTTTTCTTCTGAAAATGTTGAGTGGTGGTCAATTTTTATTGTAATCTTTTTCTTTTTTCTTTTTTTTCTTTTGAGATGGAGTCTTGCTCTATGGCTCAGGCCAGAGTGCAGTGGTGCCATCTCAGCTCATTGCTATGTCCACCTCTCAGGTTCAAGTGATTCTCTTGCCCCAGCCTCCTGAGTAGCTGGGACTATAGGTGCATGCAACCATGCCTGGCTAACTTTTGTACTTTTTTAGTAGAGATGGGGTTTCATCTTGTCGGCTAGGCTGATTGCAAACTCCTGGCCTCAAGTGATCCACCTTCCTCAGCTTCCCAAAGTGCTGGGATTACAGGTGTGAACCCCCATACCTGGCTACTGTAATCTTTTAGATCAGGTTGAAATACCTTAAATCTTTAAATTAGTTGGCTCAGTAGACCCTGGTAAACAGTGGCTTTTGTGTTTCAGGCTGCAGTGTCTGGGTCAGTGCAAGCTTCAGATAGACTTATGACAGAGCTCAGGGACATACACAGATCACAGAATTATAAGACAGCTAAGGATCTCTAAAATCCTGCTCTTCTTATTGTTCTTTTGCTCTTTTCTGTTGTCAGATTATAAATGTCATTTCTTAAAACTGGGCAAAAATGGAAATGTTTACTAGCTTTATTTTGTGAAATTCAAAGGCAACCAAGTTCCAAAAGATGTAGGGGGTAAGATAGGATGAGTTTACTTGTTTTTTGGATTTAAAGAAATTGTTTTTATAGGTCCATCAGATTTTTTTTGTCATTTTCCTGATAGAGTGAACTCTTACATGATTTTTATCTTCTGGCAAAAAGCTTGAGCAATAATGCTTGGAAAGTAAATAAGAGTAATATATTTCATTATACAGAGAATGATTGCCAAGTTGATTTTTATGACTTTTCCCCCAGTTTTGAAAGCAACATAATCAACTCTTATTGTAGAGGTAGTTATGTTATTACTTTAAAAATATATAGGTGTAGTACACTTGTAGTCCCAGCTACTGGGGTGGTGGGAGGCTGAGGCAGGAAGATCTTTTGAGCTTGGAGAAGTCAAGGCTGCAATGAGCTGTGATTGCACCATTATTTTCCAGTCTGGGTGACAGAGCGAGACACCCTGTCTCTTAAAACAAAACGAAACAAAAGTGGGGGGGAGTGAGAGGTGGGCATCATATTGGACATGTATATATAGGAGAGTTGTAGAAAAATACTGATTTTTTAGTGATTTAACTCTTCTTTTCTTCTTTTTTTTTTTTTTTTTGGAGACAGAGTCTCACTCTGTCGCCCAGGCTGGAGTGCAGTGGCGGGATCTCGGCTCACTGCAAGCTCCGCCTCCCGGCTTCATGCCATTCTCCTGCTTCAGCCTCCCGAGTAGCTGGGACTACAGGCGCCCGCACCACGCCCGGCTAATTTTTTGGTATTTTTTAGAAGAGACGGGGTTTCACCCTGTTAGCCAGGATGGTCTCCATCTCCTGACCTCGTGATCCGCCTGCCTTGGCCTCCCAAAGTGCTGGGATTACAGGCATGAGCCACAACGCCCGGCTTAGTGATTTAACTTTTCATGGTTCCATCCATGGGAAATTGTTTTCCTTGAATCCCTTGGCTAATAATACAAGTCTAGGAAAGCATATTAAACTTCTTTTAAATTCTTGAGAAAATTATATACATGTGGCTGTTTTCCTTTAGAATGACTGCAAACTCTGAACCCACTTATTAGATTAGATTTAGGCTATTATGATCTCTTTTGGACATTTATTCTAAAGGAGCTGGAAGCTATAGTGACCTCTATTTTTCCTGGGGATATAGAGCAGCTTAAGAGCTTCTCTTTCTGGAACTTATCCTAGATGCTCTATTTTAGCTTTCAGATTGGTTCATTTTTGAGTTAGTTGAAAAAAAAATTCTCTTTTTGTTTGAACGGTTTTTTGTTTTGTGATTCTTAGGGTTGACCCTGATAGTCCTTTGCACAGTGATCTTCAGATCTTAAAAGAAAAAGAAGGCATAGGAGATATTTTGCTTAATTTATATTTTAAGTTAAGAAAATTGTTACAGGACTCTATATTTTTCTAATGGGGGTGTATATTTGTACAAGTGTTTTAGAAAACAATTTGGTAAAGTGGAAGATACTCATACACTATGGTTCAGGAATCTTGTGAATATTCACTCCACAAGAAATGAGTATGTAGGCACCAGGAGATACAGGAATGTTCAGAGCAGCATCATTTATAATAGCCCTAAACAGAAAATAACCCAAGTGTTCATTCCAAGAAAATGAAGAACTGTGGTATTCATAAAATGGCTTATAGCTATGTGGGACAAGATGGGCGAACCTTGAACACTGTGTTAAGCAAAAGAGACCAGACCCCCAAAACCTATTTTGTACAATTTCCTCTATATAGAGTTCAAAAATAGGCAAAACTAATGTTGGTTAGGGCATACATTCTTAGTGGAGGCAATATCACCTGCAGTGGAGTGAAAATTGGTCCTTACAGTAAAAGAAAATCTTACCTATTATAATGGTCTGCTACCCTCCAAAGGGCCATAGAATATAAACCGACATACAATATATCTGTGATGTTAAAATTCAATGGGGCATGGGGGTAGAATTAGGGAAGAAACTTCTAAAAAGGCTTCGTAGGGAGACAAAAATGAAAAGAAAACTGAGAAACACTTATTTCTGGGTTCATACTTGGGCAGTAAAACTATCAAGAACAAAGAAGTGATTACATAGAGGTTAGGGTAAGGAGTACATCCAGGTGGGAGGTAGGGAGGTGTGAACTGAAAAGGTACATCCGTGGGCTTCTTGGATACTGGCTGGAATATATTTCTGGACCAGGTTGGTGGTTACATGGGCAAATAATTTACAATAACTTGCTAAGATATACCTTAAGGTATATTTTACATACTTTTCTGAATGTATGTGTTATATTTAATAAAGTATTTTTAAGATACTAAAAATAAAGGTTACAAAGGAATAACAATGGAATCTAGAAAAAATATTAATGATCTAATATGGAATCTAGACAAGATGTAATGGTTTAAAATCTATGGCTATATGAGGCATTTTGATGAAAAAAACAAAGACATAAAAGAATACTTTGTTGTACTTACTCTAAGGATGGTAGTAGTTTTCTAAAAGCTTCTTACTTAGCTTTTTGTGTGTATATTTTTGCTTGCGGATATATCTTATGATTGAACTTTCTTGAAATGACCCTAATGTCAGTATTTTCTCTCACTTTTGTTATCATAGAAACTGTTGTGGTTGTCAACTGGGTCGTCGTTGCTAATGGCTACTTCTTTATGGATTCATACGGGAGAACGAATGAAGCACGCAGGCCTAAAACAAAAAACAAAACACAAAAAAACCCAGGATGGTATCTTTCTTTTTTAAAACATTAAATCATATGTCCATATGCCCAACACCAAACTTAAGAAATAGAACCTTTGGCTGGGCATGGTGGCTCACGCCTGTAATCCTAGCATTTTGGGAGACCGAGGCAGGTAGATCACCTGAGGTCAGGAATTCGAGACCAGCCTTGCCAACTTGGTGAAACCCCATCTCTACTAAAAATACAAAAAATTAGCTGGGCATGGTGGTGGGCACCTGTAATCCCAGCTTCTTGGGAGGCTGAGGTGGGAGAATCACTTGAACCCAAGAGGCAGAGGTTGCAGTGGGCCGAGATTGCATCATTGCACTCCAGCCTTGGTGACAAGAGAGAAACTCCGTCTCTGAAAAAATGTATGTATAAAAGAAATAGAACCTTATCAGTACCTGTAGTACCTTGTGTACCCCTCCCTTGTCATGTCCTCTTTGGGAGGTATCTTGAAGGGAATATGAAATCTTGGCCAGGAAACTGGAGGATTCATGACTGCAGGTGGTGTTTTCATTATTTTTTCCTGCTCTAGTTAGAACTTCAGGGAGAGGATGATCTGGGAGATAAATGGCTGAAATTCAGTTGGATTTGTATTTGTGGCTCATGGCTCCTGATACCAGAAAGAAGGGCCTTTTCTGGGGTTGGAGTATTTCTTAAGAGGCCTGGGAAGAATGTGATTGCCTTGAGCTAACTGACCTTCTGAAGAGGACCTTAAACTGAATTGCCAAGTTGTTAGTATCGGGATTCACAGACTTTGGAGAACAGCAGGTATGACTCGGAAAGATGTACAGGAAGGAGCCAGAACAATATATATTTATGGCCTCTGATGTCCACAATGACAACTTGAGCATCATGAATAGTAAGCAAAATGGAACTTGAGATAAAGTGTAACACAACGATGGGAATGAGGGCAGGAGAGAATACGACTTGGTCAGCAACTTGGTAAATCCAACTTGCTGTGTTTTTAAGGAAGTTGTTGCCTGATGTTACAGGCAACATCAGAATTACTGAATTGAATTCTGAGGTAGTACTTTAAGAAGGGTCTATTTAGATAAGTTTAGGTTCATTTAGAGAATAATAGCCAGGGTTGGGAAGAGATTCTATTCTGTGTCCTAGGATAGCTGATGAAATTGTGGATTTAGAGAGGAAAACATGGGGGTTCGTGATAGCTTGTCTTCAACTATTTGAAGGAGTATGTATATGGAAGCATTAGTTTTAATTTGTTTTTGGTGAAGACAGGGCATAAAACTAGAACTAATAAGTCAAATTACAAAGAGGTGATTTTCAACTCAATATAAGTAAGTGACTTGTGCTATTTAGACCCATCTGGTGATGTAGTCTTTGAAAAACAGTATGTTCTTCATCCTTAAGAATAACTTAGAAGGCTGAGATGTTAAATGGGAAGTCAGATAACTTCATGAGATTTTTGTAGAGCCTGAGAGTCTGGTTCAGAGTTAATATATACTAAGGTAACTCAAACTTCATTTTAACAGTCACCCTCAACTTTTTTCCCCCTCCCTGAAGAACTCTTTTTATTTCTGTAAGATCTGGATTCCTGAGTTCCAGGGTACAGAGTTTATGGAATAGAGTCCCCAGGTTTTGATATAGGAGAGTTATTCTGAACTGTTTAAAATTAATTAAATAATCCATAATTAATTAATGGGTTTATAGTCACTCTTTAGGGATTCACGTATTTAAAGATCTAAATAATAGTAAGTTAAATGAAATTGTACTTTACTAAGCTTTACATCACCCTCTATAATTTCCCTTATGTCTGTTAAATTATAGATAAAAGGTGAGCTACTTTATTTGAAAGTAGATTATAGTAACGGTCATTAAGTTGGTATCTTGTGGATAATCTTGCATTTCTATTGTAAGCTAGAAAAGAATTTCCTCTTATCTTTCATCTTCTATCTTATCTTCCTCTCTTCATATATTTTTATCAAGTCTGATGATGTTTGTCTTTTAATTGGATCAATTAGTTATTGCTGATACTTGGGTTCAAGTCTACCATCTTATTGATGATTCATTTGTATTTGTTTTTCTTGCTTTTTGCTCTATTTTGTCTTTCTTTTAGATTTTTTATGACTCTAGTTTTCTACCTCTGTCAGCATAGTTCTTATTCTTTTTAATTACCCTACAGTTACAATATGTCTTTGACATGTCAAAGTCTAATATAAACTTGTAAATTCATATTTTTTTGTTTTTCTTGTTGGTACAAGGACCTTACCACACTGTGAGTTCATGTCCTTTCACCTAAATATTTGCTGCTGTTGTCAAGTATTTCAAGTCTATATTTATCTAAAACCCTACACATAATTGTATAATCAATATTCACTTAGATCCACATGCATATTTGCTCTTTTTCATGCTCTTTACTCTCCACATTTTCACTGAGGATCCTCCTTTTCCTTTCTGAAAATATCCTTTAGTATTTTCTTTGGTGTGAGTCTACAGATAGAAAAATTCCTCTATTTTTTTTTTATTATTGAAGAGTATTTTCATTAAGTGTAAATTTCTAGGTTGGCAGTTTGCTTTATTCAGCACCTTGAAGATATCATTCTCTCACGCTAGCTTGCATTATTTCTCTTGAAGTGGTGGTTAAATCTTGTGAAGTCTTTGATCAGTTTTGGAAAATTCTCCGCAACTGTATCTTCAGCTATTGCTTCTGTCCCATTCTTTTTTTTCTTCCAGAGCTCTACGTATGTGATAAACTTTTCAATATGTTGTCTTTTATTTTCTCCATTTTCTGCCTTTTTGTCTTTCCGACCTTTTTCCAGTTTACTGAATCTCTCTTCCACTAGGTTACTGCTTGGTTAAACTTATCCATTAAGTTATTAATTTCAGTTGTGATAGTTCTAAATTGCATAATTTCATACGGTTCATTTTTATAATTTGCATTTCTCTGCCAGGTTTTCAGTCTTGACCTGTCCTTCCTTGATCATGTTCAGCAGAGTTATTTTAAAGTGTGTCTGCAAAGTCTGTTATCTCAATTCCTTGTGGTTTTGTGTCTGTTGTTTACTTCTCTTGTTTTCTGTTATGTCATCTTTCAGTCTCATGTGGCTTTTTATTTTTAGTGATAGACATTATATATGAAAAATTGTAGAACTAATTTGAAGCCTTGGATGGTATTCTTCTCCAGAGAGGATTTACATTTGCCCCTGCCAGGGGCTTGGAAATTAGCAACCCGGGATTGTCTCATCCAATCAGGGATTGAGATGATTAAAGCTGGCCATCATTCCCTGTTAGGGCAATTTGCAGTTGATTCTTCAGGGTCCCAACCTAAGGAGTGGGAGACTTAGCAGGGCCCCTCCTCAGTGGACGCTGAGCTCCAGTGTTTATCTCCCTGTGAGCTCTGTGAGGCTGTGAGTTCTAGGTCAGCTTTTTAACCTGTTCTTTGTCTCTTCTGTCATTGGAAGAAAACCCAAGGGGGAAAAAGAAGACCCTGTTCTCTGGTGTTCCCTTTTCTCAGCCCTGTAATCATTATGTTTTGTCCACCTCTCTAGTTCTCAGTCAGAAGATTGATCTAAATTACCTAGTCTATCCTTATTGGAATGGTTCCTTTATATAGTTCTATTGAAGTAGAACCACTTCATGTGTTTCATAAGTTTACCATAACACTGTTCTGTTTGGGCCTGATTTTAACTTCATTTTTATTTGCTTTGGTTTTCGTTTCATTTGGTTTTTGGTACTAAGTTTACCTTTATGACTCTCACCCTTTATCTGATAATAAATGTACATTTTCTTTTATAGTTTCTTTTAAAATCTTCTAAATAGTGTAGCATTAAGGATGTTCTTAAAAGTAATTAAACTTATTTATTTGCTTTTTAGGATAACTTTCCAGTTGATCCTCCATTTGTTTGAGTGGTGTTACCTGTTCTCTCAGGAAGGTAAGTGTAAGTGATTAATTTGTCTTTATTTTTTTATTTTTTAATTTTTTTTAATAGAGATGAGGTCTCACTATGTTGCCCTGGCTGTTCTTGAACTGCTGGGCTCAAGCGATCCTCCCACCTTGCCCTCCCAAAGTGCTGGGATGACAGGCGTGGGCTGCTGTGCCTGGCTTATTTATTAT